CCACCCCTCCCTTCTTCCAGGGCTCAACTTCACTCCCAATTTCTTTACCTCCTCCCTCCAAACAGTGCAGGGGGATGGGGAATGGGATTACAGGCATGATATTCATCACACACTTCCTCTTCCACTGTTTCCAACATGGTGTCCCACCCACAGGAGACATTCATCCACAAACTTCTCCAATGTGAGTCCTTCCCACAGGCTACAGTTCTTCACAAACTACTCCAGTGTGGGTCCCTTCCATGAGGTGAAGTCCTTCAGGAACAGGCTGCTCCAGACTGGGTCCCCCATGGGGTCACAAGTCCAACCAGAAAACTGGCTCCAGCATGGGCTCTTCTCTCCACAGTCACAGGTTCTGCCTGGAACTTGCTCAAGCACAGGCTCTCCATAGGGTCACAACCTTCTTCAGGCATCCACCTCCTCCAGCATGGGGTCCTGCATGGGTTGCAGGTGGATCTCTGTGGACTGCCATGGGCTGAAGGGTACCCTTTGCTGTGGCACCCAGAGCACCTCCCCCCCTCCTTCACTGACCTTGGTGTCTGCAGAGTTGTTTCTCTCACATATTCTCACTCCTCTCCCCCAGTTGCTGTTGCGCAGCAGTTTTCCCCCCTTCTTAAATATGTTATCCCAGAGGTGCTACCACCACTGCCAATCGGCTCAACCTTGGCCAGCAGCAGGTCCATCTTAGAGCTTGTTGGCACTGGCTCTATCAGGCATAGGGGAAGCTTTTGGTATTTTCTCACAAAAGCCCCTCCTGTAGCTCCCTCCCCCTGCTATTAAAACCCTACCATGCAAACCCATTATAAAGGGGATGGCAAATATGGCCTGGACCTTTGAGAAATCTGTTTTTTTTTTTTTTTTTACTGAGGAGAGTCAGCGGACAGACATGACACAGCATATAAAATAGCAGTAAACCCCTGTATTTATGTACCTTCCTTCATATTGTTCTCACTTGCATTGCAACTTAGCTTGCCGCCAGTAATAAAACACTAACTTGTATAACCAGCAAATTAATAACAAACCTAAACATATGCCAGAAGTTAAGTCTTTGATAAGGGTGACTGTCATGGTTTTGCTGGTTCTTAGAAACTAAGCAGGATTTTTTCCCTTCCCCCTGCCCACTGCTGCAGGGCTGTTAAGAGGGCAGTTAAGGAGTACAAAAGAAGCTGCCTTCTAATTAACGGCCTCAGAGTCTCGCCTCCTGAGAAACGGGGGTGAGGAGCTTCTTTCTTACTTTTTTTTCCTCTCGTCTCCTGGGAAACGGGGGGAGGGGAGGAGTTCTGACTGGCTGCTATCGGAGTGGAAGCTCTTTGGGGTTTTGTTCTCAACGTGGTTGCCAATTGTGGATTCTGCACTTCCCCGTTCCCATTGGTTTCTTTCTTAGTAGTGGTTCTTGTGCACATCAAAGGGAGAAGAAAAACTATATTGCACGATTTGGCCAGTAGAAAGAGTGAATTTTTTTCCCATTGGGGAGGACTTTTTTTGTTGTTTCTCCCCCTCCTCTCTCTCCCCTTTCCCAGTGTGTGGGGGGAGGGAAACCCATTTTCGATTTCTCCAACACACCCCAGAGGGTGTTACTCCCACGTGGTAATGACCAGTGATTCCACAGCACCCCCTGCTGACCAGCATAACGAACTGCAGGCTCTGAATTTTCAGTGATCCAACGGCCCCCCCTGTTGACTGTGGTTAGAATTGCACCAAAGGGGGCAAACTGAACTGTTCACTTTTTTTCTTTGCTTGTTTATTGGTATGTTTTGAAGGTGATTATTTGTGGGTATAGAAGTATTGTTTGGTTGTTTTACTTGTTTTTCTTTCGTTGTTTCTGCCAATACACATATATCTTTAAATAAAGGGCTTTTTCCTTTTTCCCCAATTTTTTTCCCCTCAATCTGAGCCTCTTAATTTCAGATTTACAATTGCTTAGAGGGAGGAGTTTGCGTCTTCCTCATCCTCAGCAAAACACCTGTGTCTCATTTTAAACTGAGACAGTGACTTATATATTCTAGACAGAACTCTTCCTAATCATATGCATACAATTAACACAAACATGATGCAGTATGCAGAGAAATTTAAAAAAATTACACAAGGAGCAAGGTTTACAATTTTCTTGTAGAATGATAAAGTAACCTTTTACTGTAGAAAGTGTGTTTTATTTTCTCTTAGTCAACTATTCCATTCTGAAAGATTGGATTTTTAAATACAGGAAACTTCAAAAATTGATAGAAGTTTCTTGATACCATTCTATGGTTTTTTTGGATTTAGGATATCAACCTCAAATAGGATTGTTGCCTAAAAGACCAGGGAGAAAAAGACTCCAGGCCAATTTAGTATAGGAGATAAGATAAAGAGAGCAGGTCCTTTAATGAGTCCATAGGCCTAGAGGAATACATACCACAAGTGCGCCCAGACAGGGGTTCTATGATTTTATAATAAGGTCCATCCAATCCCGGGTTTGTCCACCCCCCAGTTCTACCCCGTTCTGCCCCCCAACATGCCCCTTTGGGAATTGAGTATGGGGGAGTTTGGGACCCCCTCTTCCTCATCTTCATCTTCTTCACAGCACGTACAGTCCTTGGAGTTCCTCCAAAGTTCTGGGTTTGAAGGTCACTGTGTTTATGTGATATCTTCTGGTCCAGACCTTAAGGTGTCTTTCCCACAGTTCTACCTTAAAAGGAAGCCTAAACACACTAATGGAATTTTAGGGGGGATTGATATGAAATGGGGTAGTAGGCTCGGGTATGTGTAAACATTAGGTTACAGGGTGTGGGAAAGTACAGCTACATTAAAATCTACATTCACTACACAACTACTTCTAAAATCTACAAAAACTAAAAAATCCAAAAAATCTCTGAGGCATCAGATTAATGTAGAACATATGTAAAAGTATTTAAGCTAGGTTGAGCCTCTAAAGGCTGATAGAATTTAAACTATCCTGCAATGAACAAATCACTACCTTCAGAATAAATAGTAATGGCCCTGGTTTTGCAAAACAGTTTAGGAAAATACATATATTAGAGACTACAACCCTTAATGGGGACCTTTGCTAATGCAGATATGGTAAGGTTACATTAAGTGGGAAAGTGTGCACTATGAAGGATAAAAATCCCCATCAGTAGCTGCCAACCATGTATCCATAAAAACCAATGAACTTTACCCTGTTAGGAACTTTACACATGCCACATATTATTAGGACATCATTTCTTAAAATGCTGTATTGGGTCTGGCTGAGCTGGAGTTCATTTCCCCTTAGCAGTCCTCACAGTGCTGTGCTTTGCATTGGTAACTAGAAGGGTGTTGATAACACACCGGTGTTTTGACTACTGCTGAGTACAGCATCCACACTGTAACATTCCTTCCCTAAGTGAGGGCAAGATCCTGGGAGGGGACACAAGCAGGCCAGCTGACCCAAACTAACCAAAGGGATATTCCATACCATATGATGTCAGCTCAGATATAAAAGCTAAGAAAAGGAAGAGGAAGCGGGGACATTAATTGTTTACAATGTTTGCCTGCTGAGAAACCACTACACATGCTGAAGCCCTGCTTCCCGGGAAGTAGCCGAATATCGCTTGCTAATGGGAAGTAGAGAATAGACCTTGTTATTTTCCTCTTCACTTGTGCATGTGCAAACTTTCTCATTTGTTTTAATAAACTGCCTTATCTGATACCTTGGAGTTTTGATGTTTTGATTTTTTTATTTTTGTAGATCTTAGAAGTAGTTATGTAGTAAATGTAGATTTTAGAGTATCATAGAATAGAATCATAGAATAGATTGGGTTGGAAAAGACCTCCAAGATCATCAAGTCCAACCCCTGATCCAACTTTAATTACTATATCATGGCACTAAGGGCCATGTCCAATCTCTTTTTAAAAACTTCCAGGGATGGTGAATCCACCACCTCTCTGGGCAGGCCGTTCCAATGCCTGATCACCCTCTCTGTAAAGAATTTCTTCCTAACATCTAACCTAAACTTCCCCTGGCAGAGCTTGAGCCCATGTCCCCTTGTCCTGTTGTTGGTTGCCTGGGAGAAGAGACCAACCCCCATCTGGCTATAACTTCCCTTCAGGTAGTTGAAGAGAGTGATGAGGTCACCTCTAAGCCTTCTCTTCTCTAGACTAAACAACCCCAGCTCCCTCAGCCTCTCCTCACAGGACTTGTGCTCAAGTCCCTTCACCAGCCTGGTTGCTCTTCTCTGGACCCGCTCCAGCACCTCAATATCCTTCCTGAACTGAGGGGCCCAGAGCTGAACACAATACTCAAGGTGCGGCCTCACCAACGCAGAGAACAGGGGAAGGATCACTTCCCTGCTCCTGCTGGCCACACTGTTCTTGATGCAGGCCAGGATGCCATTGGCCTTCTTGGCCACCTGGGCACACTGCTGGCTCATGTTCAGCTTCCTGTCAATCAGCACCCCCAGTAGCAGCATATTATCCCTTTACCCTTAACACACCAGTTCAAACCCCTGTTACCCATTCCCATATCAATTCCCTAAATTCCATAGACTGTTTAGTCTTTTTTTCAAGGTAGTATGGTAGAACACCCTAACCCTACAGAACAAGATATAGCCATAGACCCAACAACCTTCAAACCTAGAATTCTGGAAGGCCTCCAAGGACATTATGTGCTCTGAGGAAGATGAAGATGAAGAAGAGGGGGTCCCAAAACGCCCCCAGACCCAATTCCCAAGAGGCGTGGCGGGGGCAGAACTTGGGTGGTAGCTGGACGGGATTGGGTGAAAATCATTATAAAAACTGTGGACATCTGTATTTCGGGAGCACGTGCTGGGGTATTCCAAAAAGCCTGGGGGCTCATTAAAACTTTTGTATCCTTATCTTATCTCCTACCTAATTTGGCTTGGAGTCTTTTTTTCCCCACAGCCATTTAGGCAACACAACCTACGAGTCTGTCACATTAAAAGGGGAAGAAAAGAATTTTTTGTCCAACCTGTATGTGCTGGTTTAATGGTAAACTGGCAGGAGAAATGAACCCAACTCAGAAGAGATAATAAGTCAGTTACAATTTAATAAAAATAATACAATAAATACAATTATACCAACAAGTGATGAGTTTTAACCCACAAACCCCAGATGTATAACCCAGCACTCTGGGGCATGAACATAATGGTGTGCGTTGGCCCCCGTGCAGAGCCCCATGTGGTCCCCCTGAGTCCAAAGTAAAAAGAAGGAAAACCTGTTGGTGACAGTGATGGTCGCAGTCTGGTCAAGAGTGGTGATCACAGTCTGGTTGAGGTTCTGGTCCTCCTCTGGATCCAATGAGTGGTACCAGAAGTCCCAAGACCCTCAGGTTCTGGTAGGAATGCCCAGTACCTCCTCCAGGGCAGGGAGTTCCACAATGGGTGATTGTGAGTCATGGGTATGAGGACAGGAACATTCTCCTATCTCACAGGCCTCTTAACACCCAGCTTATAGCCTGAGGGGTCAGGTGTGCTCTGGGCAGCTGCTGCAAATGGTCTATTGTTAACAGTTTCTGGGAAATGACATAGAGGGTGTAGAATACCCAGTTTGGATTACACCCACACAGTGATGAACTGGTCCCAACTGCTCTAACTAGGACACTGTATTAATTTATTTTTTGTCTATCAGTGTGTCCCCCAGGAGATCAAAGCCTTTTAATGTCCAAAGTAGTCTGTTAGCGTGTCATTAAGAGGAGACCCTTCGCTTAACAGATTCACTGAGATGGACAGGACATTTAATACCTTTATATAGGGACTGCACTTAATAGCAATAGGGAAACTCCTCAGCAAGTTTCTCCTATGAGTTATTTGACCATCAACAAAACTGACCTAAAAATGGACTCACTCTAGCAGTTCACGAAATAACACATTTATTAATACAAATTTGTGACAATTTACGGGATTCATTGTGTCTGGAATAGCATCTAACTGCAAAAATTACACTTAAACTATGTAGTAATAATAAAACCAGATCTAAGCACACACTCTAAAGCAAAGTGCTAAAAACACTCTGAAGAAATAGAAGCAAAAACTTCAGAGTACAGCAACTTACTAAGAATACTATGAGGAAAAAGTAAGCTCCAGTTATTTAGAAACAGGTAATTAGCATGCATAAGATACGTCTCACCTTCCAGGCATCCCCAGAAGTGGAAGGAGAAAAGGTAGCCTGTCAGCTACCTCCACAGAATTGATGGAACTTCTCCCCCATTTTTGCTTATGTCCAATATCATTTTATACCTTTTTCTTGAGTGGCTATAGTCAATAAAGTAATTTTGGGGTGATAGACAAGGGACATAGGTCCAAGGGTCATTTTCCTGAGTTTCTGTCTGGCAGGATGTTTTTGAAAAAAGGCCGTGTTATCTCCATATCATGCCTTTCTTTGTTTAATCCTCTTATCAGTTTCTGGGAATGTGTCCCCAGGTGCTGGGGTCTTCCAGGGAACCATCATGACTTTTTTTTCTCCTTTTGTGTAGCCTTTCTATCACCTTACAGAGTAGTTTTCCATCTTATTCTCTCACCCTTGTCTGGTTGGGAAGGGGAGTGATAGAGCAGTTTGGTTCACACCTGGCATCCAGCCAAGGTCAACCCTCTACAAATGCAAACTCTAAAACATCAGAATACAGTTCAGTAACTTCAAATTTTCTCAGTACTAGGAATATATATACACGGACTCGATGATCTAAGAGGCTTTTTTCAACCTTAACAATTCAATAATTTGCACATTTTCATAAATCCAAATGAGAAAATGGAACAAAATGGGAGAACACAAATTATTAGACATTAAGAAAATTAACCCTGATTTTTATTTGGATGTAAATTGAAACAGAGAAAGGATTTAAAGAGTTAACTTAGAGGGGTCGAAATCTGGTTCTTGGGACCTTGCTCTGAGGAATGTGATATTTATGTTAAAATATAGCAAAAGCAGGGACCAGGCTCTAAGGATTAGCTTAGAAATATAGTAGAAATAATTTGTTCTGTTCTGGTAAAAAATAGCAGAAAGGTCAACCTAGTAGTCATAAATAAAGAGAGGATGGCATCCAGGGAGATAGAGGGGTGGTGGGTCAAGGAGAGTTTTGCAAACCCTAACTTGAAGTCAGAGAAACAAAGAAAGTTGAAGAGTTCAACTCCAAAAGTGGGGCCGAAGAACAGAATGACCCCTGTACATCTCCTCAAATAAAACCCCTGACTTCTGACTCAAACTTTAGAGTTACTTTGTCCGATGCGAATCGGGGGCTCTCCAACGTTGTATGCAATAAATACCTTGCTGTTTAAAGACACAAATTTGTCTCTAAGCAGTTTTTCTGTGCTGTTTTGGCACCAAAATCAAAACCATTGTGATAAATCTGTTGATGACACTCCTTAAATATTTTTTCCTCCTCAAAAGACTAGGTGTCTGTTTCATTTTGAAAAGGCTGAGAAATATCACACTGCAGGAAAAGAGAACTCTTGAGAAGATTTATAAAAATATCTCAGAAGAAATCTAATTTGCTAGCCTTTTTTGGCTAGGAAAGCTCTTTGGCTTACAGCTTTCAGAGATAAAAAAACACACAGAAGGAAAACAGTTGTTCTGGTTGAATCTATCACTGAACTATGTAAACCTACGATATAAGTGGGAAAAACCAACAGATTGCAAATTATGCCTCCCAATTTCTTTTTTTTCCTCTCTATTACTAGTGTTATGCTGATAAAATCTATTTGGGTAGTACAAACAAGTCTTAATTGTTTAATAAAGAAATTAATTTGTCATTGCATGAATTTTTCACTTACATCAGTAGATATTCAACAAGTAACAAGAATGTTAAATATACATAAAAATGGTATAGGAATATTTAAAGTTGATTCCAATACAAAAATTTTAATTACTATTAAATCACTTCTGAGTAGTGAAATAGGTCTAAAAATAGAAGCAGCAAATAAATCCATCACATTCAATAGCTCTATAAGACTAACAATTCATATTAACATTCTATAATAGGGCAAGAAGTTGATGGGCTGTATCCAACAGACTTGTATTTCTATCAATGCCTCTACAGGAACCCACATGAAACCACACTGCTCACAGACAGGACAAAAACTAGGCAGAAAAGTCAAAGCCTGAAATCACTTCAAAACAGAACAGCTCTCATTTTACTAAATTGTTCCTCTAAAGTGAGCACTGAGGAGAAAATTCTTCCTATGTACATTTCTCTTTTGTGTATTATGACTATAGCACCTGGCACTTTGAGATTTAACACACAGCACTGCTGAATAAAAAAGGTAAACACTGTTTATAAGTAAACCACTAGCATTCTCAAAACATAGGGTATTAAAATGATTACTTGTTTGTAAATTGATTACTTGGTCTTATCTTTGTCTTCCTAAGCACATGATGTAATATTTAAAAACAAAGCTAGCTCTGTACTTTTTAAAACCTTGGTTTTCCATTCTTCTTAGCTTAACAAGAGTCAGAAGTTACAAAGTTAAAATAGCCAATTAAAATGGGCAGGTAAAACAGAAATAAGCTGCAAATTCACTCTTCACCACACAGCTCAAAAATCATAGTCACAACTTCATATTTAACTTGGAATCACTTTAGGTATACAATAGTTCAAAAGATCCAGAAACTGGTTAAAAGCCAATAGAACAAAAATACAGGAAACCCAAAATACATCTTTGATTTTTTTAATCCTAAATTTTATGGTCAATCACATGCCGGAAAAACATGTTTGCTTTATGAAGAAAGAAACTTTGGTATGGAGTTGAACTAGCCACAATAATAGCACCTGTAGCTTTCAAAATAAACAGTAATGGCTAATTAGACACCATGGTAGCAAGATATCCCTCTTAAAAAAACCAACCAACCAAACGAAAAATCCCAAACAACCAGAAACCACCAAGTAAGAACGAGTACATGCTTGGAGCCACACATCAAGGCTGGACAACAGAAACTAGTAATATTAAAGCACGTTAACTAATGTATTTTTGAGGCTGAAATTGGTAAGAAATCTTTCCTACAATGAGAAAGCCTTTTATTTGCTAACCACTAATAACCACTCCTTTTAAAACTGCACTCTTCTGATGCTTGAAGAGCACTGTATGAAAATCTTTCCTTAAGATTCCCTCTATTTTTCTAAAATACCGTATTTCTATTTCACAGACCTATGCTGTTAGCAATAAGCATTTAAAAAAAATATCCCCCTACTCCAAGAGTTATTTATTAAAAAGGTCAAAGATAAATTTGACCTCAAAATAGAACACAAGTTTTTTTTAATTGTACCATAAATAACAAATGATCTTTATAACATGTGATACACTCCTACAGCCATCAGTAGTTACCAGAATGTTAGTATGTGTTAATCTGTGAGTTTTATGGGTTTGCAACAAAGCATAATACACACTGAACAGCATGAGTGAACTTCAGTTCCAAGTATATTAATGAATCTTAGTAATTTAATACATTTTAGTTTTTATTTGCATATTCCACTGTAGTGCAGTGACAACAAATCACACCTGTGTACCAGAGCATACATCAATAGTATGATGTAATTTTACTATACCACTGCTATATTTATCTTTTTGAAAGAGACATAAGCATATACTATGGCCACATCAAACAATTTTCTGGGTTGTTGTTTTCCTTTGATAACATTTGCTTTTTCAGTAATATATTACTTATTAAAATCTGAATTATTTAAAAAAATCACAGAAAATGTATACAGAAATAGCTATAAGGAATAGCCTTACAGGCACTGATATGGTAAGTATTTATTTTAAGGGCTGAGAGGCATTAATATAATATCAACAAAGTGGACTGAAAGAATTACTAATTTTGTCTAAATGGGAAAAGCCTGCTTCTGTTTGTAGGTTGAAAAAAGAAATTCAGAAAGTTATGTTTTGACCTTGCTATGTCACAAAGTCAATCATACAAAACCTATGCATTAAACCTAAAATGATAATTTTAAATGCCTTTATATTAAAAAACTCGAAAACATCATGCAAATCTTTGATCATTATGCAGTTGATTTAAAACTGTTGCAAGACCATACTGTATATATTAGCTTTTATACTGCTAATACACAACTAACAGCAAATTTGATTAGATTAACAAAAATTTGTCTTAATTACACCATTATATCACACTAAAGAGACAAATGCCACAAGACTGGCAAAATCATTTAATTCTGAGCATTCAAATGGCAGGATAACTATGTGTTGTAACCCCTTCACATTTAGGAAAACAAAAACATAATCCTGCAGTTTCACTTTACAAAATGAAGTCCTGTAAAATATTAATTGGGAGGGAAACAGTTTATACTAACACAATGTAACTTATACAACTTATACAACTAGTGTCAAAGGCAATCAAAAGAAATCTTCTAAATAAAAAAAAATCAAAATACACATAGCAACAGAAGCACAAATGCTGCATTAAATACACTCAAGATAAGACAATACACAAGAGAGACAGAGAGATGGAGACTAAATTTAGCAACACATTTAAAGAAAATGCAATGAGGAAAAAACCTATTTTTTCCAATGACAGTTTCCATTTGCAGTCTTTCCATCCGTAATCTTCTGATACAGTACATCATTAAAATATTCAGAATCTCACAGAAGAAGTACATTTTTCTCTTCCAAATCTAATTACTAAGTTGGTTTAGGATGTTTAAAACAGACATTATTATGTCAATTTAAAAGCAAGGCAACAAATGGACTTTTTATCACCTTCAATCTTAGCACTAATGACATTTTTAAGAGTTTTAAAAGTTATCATAATCCTTTTTGTCTTTTTTTCCCTCTGCTTCAAATCCATCAACCCCATCACTGTCCCTTCTCCTTTTACGATTATTATGGATGTTGAAACGTTGATTCATCTGTGGTAATGGATCCATTCCTAAAACTTTGTGTATTTGACGGAATGCAAGGAGTCTCAGTGCAAACTAGAAGAAGGGTGGAAAGAAGATATTTCTGTTAGAAACAAATGTCAATTTCAAATACTTTATCAAACAATTAATGAAGAACATTAGTGGTATATGATATTATCCTTAGCTCTTATTATCCTTTTTTCCTTACCCCAACACAATAAAATGTGTATGTCACATTTGCTGCTTTTATACAAAATACAACATATTAGCTTAAAAATAGTATTTTAGCTGTTAGACTTGCACTGAAGCAACCAAGGCTTGTCATGTGTCCCATTATGCATCTTTAGCTAAAGGATCAAATGAAGAGGTAGGGGCAGTAAACTCTTAAGCTGCAAGCATGAATGGCCAATACTGTAAGTGGATACAATAAATATTAAAAATTCAGCTTACACAGATTTATTTATAAAATATTAAATGCCGATGCAATTTTAAATCTAATAACATACTACTGTAGAGTAAGAATCTTTACATATATAGACAGAGATGGGAGTACTTCAAACTTTTCAGGAAAATATGTTAATTTTAGTAAAAAAATGAATGCTATTATACATTCTGTTTTGTGACATTTTCATTGCCTAGCTTAAGACTGATCATTTGAATGACCAGACTATATTCTAAGAAAGGAAAATTCATGTCCACCATATAGCTCCATTAAAAAAACAAAAAAAACACTCCAAAATCAACCAACTACCCACCAAATAAACTAGCCATCAAATTTAGTTACTTCCTTACCTGTGCACTTGAAGTAATATCCTCACGTTGTTGATCTGTCATTACAGCAAGTGTATCCAAAGGATCTTTCTCACAAGGATCCAGAAGGCCAGGACCACCTAAAACAGGCTAATTAGTAGCACATCTCTACCTTATTTCAATCAAGATTACAGGTTTTACATTACTTAAACATAAGTATACAGACACTGATCAAATGCAACTTGCCTTTAAGGATGATTCCTGAAGATATACATTCAAAAACTCTTCTTAATGCATCCCCAGGACTCTGTGGTCCAGTAGCACTGCTAATTGCTTTTTCCACAAGCAACTCCATAGCCTAGAACAACAATAAGAAAATCCAGCCAATTTAGAAGACTGACTAAAAATAAAATATAAAAAACTACTACTGTTGTTCAGTAAAGAACTTTGGATACTGAAATTTTGAAGGACATTACATATCACAGAACACTTTCAGTTAAAATGGAAAAAAATCAGATGATTGTTAACAATGAATAAAAAGAAAGCTCTGTAAGATTAACACTGAGTACTGATACTGATATGCTGCTTCTCATGTCAAGTTGTCCAAAAGTTTTCTTAGAAATTTATACAGTAGTAGCCTACTTGAACAACTCGTTCAGTCATTTTTTGAGAGCATGAAACATAGTGGGTCACTGGAATCTTTCAACCACATGAATAAACAGCACACAGTATGAAAATGATGAATTTGATTCACCTAATGAAATTAACAGGATGCTACAGAGAAATTATTTTTTTCTATGAGAATACAGTATCAAAATTATAATGATCTTTTAACATTTAAGTTGTTACTAGTTCTTCAGTTTCACAAAACTGAAGTTCACAGCAAGTTTTTCCTTGATGTTAAACAAGTGTAAAAAAGCCCTTGATGATAAACAGGTTTTCTAAAATGTACACATTATTTGATATTATTTAAAATTACTTAAATTATTAACTGCATTTTAAATATTTTTTCTGTGAATATTTCCATTGTTTACTTTATTAGACACTGAAAAAACCCTATAAAATATTTTTGCAAAAGTAAAGAATAGCTTTCCTTAGCTTTTTCAGCATTGAATAGATATTTCAATACCACCTCCTTGGCAAGTTTTATTTTCAAACAACATGTCTCTCTTATTTTTTTTGTTGGGGTTTTTGGGAGTTTGGATTTTTGGTTCCTCTCCCAAGTTTACAGTTCCTCAAATGTTGCCTTTTATTTTTATTTTCCAAGAATAAATGCCTATTCTAATGCATGCAACTAATTATAGGCAGCGTTGATTACAATCCTTTACTTAGGGTGCCCATTCCTTTCTATTTTAGCTCAATATAAGTGACAAATTTTAATTCTTGAGCATTGTATTTCTGTACTTACGCTGCATCACTCAGGATCAAGCTTTTGAGTTTTAGCAACAGTAATTTAGTTGTTTTCAAGTATGAAGAAAAAGACAGTAGGAAAGAAAAAAAGCAGATTACATTAATGCATTTATTCAAGTCTAGTTCTTTTGGATCCTCATACAATACAGTGAAGTCCTCAACTTAATCATAGGAAAATGTGAATTATGATGCCCTGGTGTTTATATGCAAAAAAGACTAGATTTCAAGTTTTCAAAATAAATAAAAATAAATCAACCTTGAATATTAGTTCCTTCTAACTTGTAGGAACTTGATAAAATTCTTCTAATTTAGTTTTTATTTCTAGGTATATAAAGAGGCTGATACAAATGTCTGTGTTTAGATTTCCTAATATTTTCTATTATTACAACTACTTAGGGTCTTTTTGAAAAGCTCTGGCCTCTCTTTGGCTTGTAACAGGTTTCTAGCATATAGATCAAGAAAAGTTCTGTGTCCAGAAAAATATATTTTTTCAATCTAAAAAATTTCATCTGTAACTGTCAGAAATTATATCTATTTGAAATCGGTCTTTTTTTGTTTGTCAGTAAGACTTTGCCAACAGGTCAAAAGAACAACTGAATGCACAAACTTCAATGTTGATTCATGTCACTGGCAATGCATCAGGTACCAAGAGCAAGACACGAAGCATTTTAGAGAGAACTGAGACACTGATAGGTCTGAAATCTCTCATGAAATCCTCATAGGTAAACTCAAGAAGTGTGGGTTGGATGAGTGGACAGTGGGATGGATTGAGAACTGGCTGAGTGGCAGATCCCAGAAGTTTGTGATCAGTGGCACAGAGTCTAGTTGGAGGCCTGTCACTAGTGGTGTCCCCTAAGGTTCTATACTGGGTCCAGTGTTGTTTAACTTGTTCAACAATGACTTGGATGAAGGGGCAGATGCATCCTCAGCAAGTTCGCTGATGATACAAAACTGAGAGGAGTGGTTGATACCCCAGAGTGCTGTGCAGCCCTTCAGAGGGACCTCAACAGGCTGGAGAGATGAGCAGAGAACTGTCTGAAGTTCAACAAAGAAGGCAAGTGCAGGGTCCTGCACCTGAGGAGGAATAACTCTGGGAACCAGTATAGGCTGGAGGTTGACCTTCTGGAAAACAGCTCTGCAGAGAAGGACCTGAAGGCCCTGGTGGACAACAAACTGTCCATGAGCCAGCAGTGTGCCCTTGTGGCCATGAAGACCAATGGTATCTTGGGGTGCATTAGGAACAGCATTGCCAACAGGTCGAGGGAGGTGATCCTGCCCCTCTACTCAGCCCTGGTGAGGCCACATCTGGAGTGCTGTGCACAGTTCAGGGCTCCTCAGACATGGAGCTCCTGGAGCAGGTCCAGCAGAGGGCTACTAAGTTGATCAAGGGTCTGGAGAATGTCTCTTATGAGGAAAGGTTGAGGGAGCTGGGCCTGTTCAGCCTCAAGAAGAGATGACTGAGAGGGGACCTCCTCAATGTGTATAAGTACCTAAAGGGTTGGTGTCAAGAGGATGGAGCCAGGCTCTTCTCAGTGGTGCCAACCAAAAGAACAAGAGGCAACGGGCAGAAACTGATACACAGGAAGTTCCACCTGAACATGAGGAAGAACTTTTTTACTATGCATGTGACCAAGCACTGGAACAGATTGCCCAGAGAGGGTGTGAAGTCTCTGTGACTGGAGATATTCAAGAACTGTCTGGACGCAATCCTGTGCAATGTGCTCTGGGATGACCCTGCTTGAGCAGGGAGGTTGGACCAGATGATCCACTGTGATCCCTTCCAACCTTACCCATTTTGTGATTCTGTGACACATTGCTTCATACCTCTCTTTACTTCTGGCTGTGCCTTAGAATAGATATTATGAGAAATAAGAAACAACATTCCTTGTTCTTCATCTATGTGCCTGCTGTTTGTTGGAATATTTTTAAGGATGTTTTTCTAAAAGTATACCAGGGTTTATTCTTTGGCAACTTAGTAAGCAATATTGAGGGCACTTACATACTTCTGAGCTTCTGTTAAACTATATTTGTACAGTATATCTTTCATGAAGTATAGCACAGAAATTGGAATTATTTTTTTTTAACTTTAAATATTTTAAAAAGCAGAAATAACTGCTCCACATTTTTTCCTGTTGGCAAGCTTAGTAGAGTTGTAAAACATTTCTCATTGAAATAATGCCAGCTACTGTAACTGTCTTGACAATGTTAGCATTCTTCCTGCCAAAACTGAAAAGTCTACATTAGGGCGCAGCACAATGCAATAGGATTTGGTCTATGAAACAAAAGAGTCAGAGCTGAATTTACCTCCACATATATATGTTTCAGAGATTTTGTTTCAGACTTTGTCCAGTCCACAGATTACACATTTATTAATATTTGGAACACAAGTTGCACTCCTGAAGAGCATCATTTAAGATAGTAAATGTAAAAGAATGCTTCAAAAACACTCAACTGCAAGAATTGAGAGGTAACTGGGTACAACCTAGAGATCTGTGTCTAGGTGACACTGATTAAAATGCTAATGGTGACACATCCACAGACTAGTACTATGGTGTTTCATCTTGCAGAAACAATATATTAATGATTGCAGGAATTTCTGTGATTTATTCTTTCAAGTAGCCTTTCTGTTATCACAGAACTATCTGGGCACAGCTGACATTATTTTTAATCAGTTTCAGTAAAGTCCAAGCAATTCAGAGTAGGTTGTTAGAAAAAAATAATTTTTTTATACAGAGTAAAGGAAAAAAATGTTAAAATACAGAATAAGAATGCTATCCTCAAAGAATTCAAAACAACAAGAAAATTCCTTTTGAAAAAAGTTTACAGCTCCAAATTGCAAACCCATAGAAAAATAATTTTTTAGAGATAATCTGGATTGTTTGTTGGGGAAAAACAAAAAACCAACCAACCAACCATAAAAAAATCACCCAAGTGAAACTCTACATTACTCCTTAAAAAACCCCTGCATTTTAAAACTGTAGTAAAACTTTCCCATGCTTTACTTTCAGTGGATTAAAAAAAAACCCTTTGCATTAAAAAGACTCATTCAAAAGAACATTACTCACCCAGTTTGGAAAATCAGACCAAGTTGGAACCCGTTGACAGAGGTCACGGAGAATACGTATGATAACCACACAGGACTGCAGACCATTAGCTCTAGCCTTGAGAGCAATACAAAATCAAATTAATCCCAACACCTACAGCAAATAGGACTTGTTGAAAGACCAAAACACTGTTCAATGGAAGCTCAGATACAAGACTGAAACAAACCATTCTACAACTTTATTCCATGAGCTGCCATTTACAGCAGTATTTTATACAGGGTTAGTAATTTAAGGTGATAGAAGTCAAAGTGCACAGGTTATATCAATAATTCTTGATCGCCTGTACATTTTGACCTATGTTCACTTGCAGCAATAAATACAGTATTTTTCTATATTAGAAATAAAAAGAATAAAGGTCAAAGAAATAGGTATAGACACTGAAAGGTTGGGGGAATCTGTTTGGTTTCTTTATTGTGCCTTTGCTCGAATGCAAAGTCACTAAACCAAACAGTTGCTTCTCGTCTTTCATTCCCTACACTTAAAGAAATAGGAAAAAAGTCTTAAATCTAACCACATTAAACACATATTCCATTATTTAAAGCAAAGTTACTCTGCAACCTTATGGAATACATAACGAATATACAAGACATGATCACCCCCAAGTGAGTCAAGCTTTCAACATCGCCTTCTCAGTTACCAGGAAAAAAAAAGTCATATGAGCAATAACTGCATAAAGCAGTTCCTCCATACTCAACCCTCTACATTTAAATTTAGGGACCAGAAAAATATTAAGTATTATTAGCATGAACAACACTGTTTTCACATAGTTAAACATTTATATTGCAACTAAACTAATCTCTCATAAGGTTACAAGAAGAAAGTAAAATGATGTTCCGAACCTGGAACCACTTAGCATGGCGTAGAGCAGCCAGAGCGTCAAGGCATTTTTGCCTGTCCAAGACATCCGGTGGGTCTTTCACCATACCCGAGGTTACATCTAAATGGATTGAATTGGCAAAATGCAGTGAGGAATGGGTGTTTGACCATTTAAAGTAGCTTCAATGTCACACATGCCATTTAAAGTTTAAACCCTTGAACAACAAATGTAATTGTTTAATAAAAACCATTCAATTAGTATTAGGGCATCAACCCAGTATGAAGATTGTAGAATCATGTTAAACTTTAGCTGTCAGGTTATTTTCAAATGCACTATGTAGTACTTCTTTCTTTTAACTAACATTTGAATAACACATATCCCCTAAAATTAAACACTGAAGGAAGGATGGTTGGATATAGTGTACCAACACAGAGAACAAAAGAAAGAAGGAACACTAAAAATCCACTTTAACAAAGTGGAAACATTCACACAGTTTCATGTAAATTTTAATGGTCATATACTATTTGGGACCTACTCTTTCTAAGAAAAATTAAGTATATAAAAAAAACCACTTAAAAGCACAATATATTTTGTAATGTTATTTTTATCATACCTTAAAATGAAAATTATTTTGCATTAATAAAAACTGACTAAAGGAATGTGAAATGCTCTTCAGTATTAGAGTTCCATTACTTTTTAATAATGTCTTACTCATATAAATTCCTCAACCCATGATATATTTGCTCCAATATTATTCAGGATGCAAGGAAAAATCTGAAAAGGGACTACTTTACTTTTGATTCAGCAGGGAAAACAAAAACCAAAAAAGAAAAAACCAAAGCGGAATGTCTGAAAGAAGGGCCAGAAGAGGAACCTGGGGAACTGTAGGCCCGTCAATCTGACCTTGGTGCCAGAGAAGGTTATGGAGCAGATCATCTTGAGTACCAACATGTGGCACGTACAGGACAACCAGGGGATCAGGCCCAGCCAGCATGGGTTTAGGAAAGGTGGATCCTGCTTAAATGACCTGATCTTCTATGACCAGGTGACCCACTTAGAGGATGAAGGAAAGGTTGTGAATGTTGTCTACCTAGACATTAGTAAACCCTTTGACACTGTTTCCCACAGTATTCTCCTGCAGAAACTGGCTGCTCATGTCTTGGACAGGTACACTGTTGTCTGGGTAAAGAACTGGCTGAATGGTCTGGCCCAGAGAGTGGTGGAGAATGGAGTTAAATCCAGCTGGCGGCTGGTGTTCCCCAGGGCTCAGTATAGGGGCTGGTTCTGGTTATTATCTTCCTCAATGATCTGGACAAGGGAATCGAGTGTAGTCCCAGTAAGTTTCCAAACAAAACCAAGTTGGGTGGGAGTATTGATCTGCTGGAAGGTAGGAAGGCTCTACAGAGGGATCTGGACAGGTTGGACCAATGGGTTGAGGTCAACGCTATGAGGTTCAATAAGGTAAAGTGACCCTGCACTTGGGTCATAACAACCTTATAGAATCGTAGAATCAGATGGGTTAGAAATGACCTCTGAGATCATCAAGTCCAACCCTTGATCCACTACTACCGCAGTTCCTAGACTATGGCACTAAGTGCCACAACCAGTTTCTTCTTAAATACCTCCAGTCACGGAGAATCCACCACCTCCCTGGGAAGCCCATTCCAACGCCTGATTACCTTCTCTGTAAAAAATTTCTTCTGAATATCTAACCTAAACCTCCCCTGGAAGAGCTTGAGATCATGCCCTCTTGTCACACTGCTGGTTGCCTGGGAGAAGAGACCAACCCCCACCTGGCTACAACTTCCTTTCAGGTACACAGTACTCAAGGTGTGGTCTCACCAGTGCTGAGTACAGGGGAAGAATTGCTTCCCTGCTCCTGCTGCCCACACTGTTCTTGATGCAGGCCAGGATGCCATTGGCCTTCTTGGCCACCTGGACACACTGCTGGCTCATGTTCAGCTTCCTGTCAATCTAAACTCCCACGTCCCTTTCCGCCTGGCTGCTCTCCAGCCACTCTGTGCCCAACCTGTAGCGCTGCACGGGGTTGTTGTGGCCAAAGTGCAGGACCCGGCACTTGGTCTTGTTGAACTTCATCCCATTGGAATCAACCCAACTCTCCAGCCTATTCAGATCCCTCTGCAGAGCCCTCCTGCCTTCCAGCAGGTCGACACTCCCCCCCAGCTTGGTGTCATCTGCAAATTTACTAATGGTGGACTCAATCCTCTCATCTAAATCATCAATAAAGATATTAAACAGAACTGGGCCCAACACTGATCCCTGGGGGACACCACTAGTGACCGGCCACCAACTGGATGCAGCACACCATTCACCAGCACTCTCTGGGCTCAACCCTCCAGTCAATTCCTAACCCAGCACAGAATGGCCCTGTCCAAGCCCTGGGCTGCCAGTTTTTTCAGGAATATACTATGGGAGACGGTGTCAAAGGTTTTGCTGAAGTCCAGGTAGACCACATCCACAGCCTTCCCCTCATCCACCAGGCGGGTCATCTGATCATAAAAAGAGATCAGGTTGGTCAAACAGGACCTGCCCCTCCTAAACCTGTGCTGGCTGGGTCCCTTGTCCATCCTGTAGGTGCCATGTGATTGCACCTAGAATGATCTGCTCCATAACCTTGCCAGGCACTGAGGTCAGGTTGACAGGCCTGTAGTTTCCCAGGTCCTCCTTGCAGCCCTTTTAGTACATCGGCCTGACATTCACCAACTTCCAATCATCTGGGACCTCCCCAGAGATCCAGGACTGTTGGTAAATGATGGAGAGTGGCTTGGCGAGCTCTTCCGCCAGCTCCCTCATCACCCTAGGATAGATCCCATCTGGTCCCATAGACTTGTGAGGATCCAAGTGGCTCAGCAGATCGCTGTTTCCTCCTTGATTACAGGGGGGCTATTCAGCTTCCTGTCCCTGTCTACAAGCTCCAGAAGCCAGTTGTCCTCAGGACAACCTGTCTTACTGTTGAAGACTGAGGTAAAGAAGGTGTTAAATACCTCAGCCTTGCCCTCATCTTTGATAACTATGTTCCCACCCATGTCCAATAAAGAATGGAGGTTTTCCTTGTCCCTCCTTTTGCTATTGATGTATCTATAGAAAGACTTTTTGTTATCCCTAACAGAAGTGGCAAGATCAAGTTAAAGTTTTGCCTTCGTCTCTCTGATTTTCTTTCTACACGACCTAACTATATTCCTAAACTTTTCCTGAGTAGCCAACTTATGCAGTGCTACAGGCTTGGGGCAGAGTGGCTGGAAAGATGTTCAGTGGAAAAGGACCGGGGGGTGTTGGCCAACAGCTGGTTGAACATGAGCCAGCAGTGTGCCCAGGTGGCCAAGAAGGCCAACGGCATCCTGGCCTGTAATAGAAATAGTGTGACCAGCAGGACTTGGGAAGTGACTGTCCCCTCGTACCTCAACACTGGTAAGGCCGCATCTCGAATCTTGTGTTCAGTTTTGGGCTCTGCAAAACAAGACAGACATTGAGGTGCTGGGGCATGTCCTGAGAAGGGCAACAAAGCTGGTGAAGGGTCTAGAGTGCAAGTCTTATGAGGAGCGGCTGAGGGAGCTGGGGTTGTTTAGCCTGGAGAAAAGGAGCCTAAGGGGAGACGTTATTGCTCTCTACAACTACCTGAAAGGAGGTTGTAGCAAGGTGGGTATTGGTCTCTTCTCTCAAGTAACAAATGTGAGCAAATGGCCTCAAGCTATGCCAGGGGAGGTTTAAGTTGGACATTAGGAGGAATTTCTTCACAGAAAGGGTTGTCAAGCATTGGAACAGACTGCCCGGGGAATTGGTGGAATCACCGTTCCTGGAGGTATTTAAAAGACGTGTAGATGTGGTGCTTAGGGACATGGTTTAGTGGCGGACTTGGCAGAATTAGGTTAATAGTTGGAGTCGATGATCTTAGAGGGATTTTCCAACTGAAATGATTCTATTATTCTAACATATAGTAGATCTTGTATATTTAAATGTTCAGAAAAGGTTTAATTACAAATGAGATACCTTTGTTGCCAAAATGGAAATACCACAAGGCCCTTTTGGAAGTGGTTAATGAAACTGGAACCACTGAACAATATGAAATGGTACCTTCAAGTTACTTAAAAAATTGTAGGGATATAATCCAATAATCAGTTTTTAAAGTTTTTTGTTTTAGTAATTATGAAAATGGCTATTGTGACTAAAGTATATTGGTAGCACAACTGGTGATATACCAGATAAAAGAAAAAGCCTTCATTCAATGGCACTCATTTCACAGGAGCTGGCTGTATGGAATATAGTTTACTCCAGCAAGATATAAAGGTAGGTAACTCCAAGAACAGAATTTATATATATAGTCTCATGAAACATGCCAGCAAGGAGAAGTTTCTAGGGATGCTGCAGAGAGACAGCTCAGAAAACACCTATTTATATACAAATGCAAAATAAATAGTAGAATACTTCGGAGAGAACTAAAAAGCCATGAACGAACATGGTGCTACAACTTTGCAAAATAATAACTAAACTAAATATGAAGTACTCTTTTCAGATTTGGGCATTTTTTAATAGGATAGTCCCATTGCTCTGCACAGGGTTAAAAGGGGGAGGATTTCAAAATAAGAACGAAGCTGAGAAGAACATAGGTATCTTCTCACACAAGTATTTAAACTTATGTACTATATGTTAAAGTGGAAAGAAGAAGAAGAACTGCACCAACAAGGTATTTACAGAACAAATGAAGACATTTAAAGTGGTATTTCATTTAAAACAAAAACTCAAACCCACACCTCTACAGGAGGAGTGCCAGGTAAGATAACTGATGAAACAAGTAAAACTTGGATATAAAAAGACAAGGAGTACATTTAGAGAAAACCCACAGAAGTAAATAGAGGTAAAATAAAGTTGAGAAATTAAAAATGTGTCTGTTGTGTCTAGTAGCCTAATCAGTCAATTTTTTGCATTCTTTTAAAACTACTATGCAAATAGACTACACTATGCAAATTTTTATCACAATAACTCACTACATAATTTGAAACTCCAATTACTTCTAGCTCTGAAAAATTTCAAATTGGAAAATAATTTTACTAAAAAGAATTACAGTTTAAGTGCACAGAAGAGAATCTTGCTGAGTGCTGGAAATGTCAATCTAAAATGTGCTACTAATAGGTATCATATGAATATCCTTGAAACTTAGACTAAGTCAGAAGTTGTAAGACACCTAATTGCACTGAGAATACATTGACTGAAAAAAAATGTATCAAGGAAACTCTTGTAATACTTACTCTGTGAATTTTTGCATCTGTTTCACATTTCAGAATTAACCCCTTAAATAGTCTTTAGATTCAGATGCCTAACCTACCACCCTGTTAAGCTAAGACAAAAAAATTGAATTAATTTATAAAACACAAGCATGAATTCTTACCCTATATAACTTATTACTACCCTAAATATAAAGGGTTAATCTTCAGTTAGACATGCTGTGTGCACACTACCTCTTCATTAAAAGTTAACAGGCATATCAATTTTGCTAAGTTTTATTATGTGAAATACATTTTACCCAGTCAACTATTTAAAGACTAGTGTGAACACTGCTTAATTCTAGGATAGAAACAAAGACAAAAAGAAAAAAAACCAAAGTAACAGCAGATGCTAGGACTATGCATCCAAACCCCCTCCCTAGTAAAGCATGGCAGGTGTGACACTGAGCTTTAGAAAACCTTGGTCAAAAATCCTTCCAATGTCTTGGCAGCAATCCCTGACAGAAACCAAGTTCCTCTGCTAGAAGGCTTTGGACCGGGGCTGTTAGCTAAGGATGAAAACAAGACACACATGTGCACATATATATGTTTTTATAAGTATGTACACTTTGTTTGCTGAAGGAAAGACTCCACAGCAGGGGTTAGAACCCTTTGAACATATCAGATCCAGTAAACTGTCAAATGTACAATACTGTAAGGAACAGTAGCTATATGGTTAACAATTTTGACACTGGTTTGTTGGGGTTTTTTTAGCCTTTTATCATGTAATGGGATTATTACACATCAAACATGATTCTACTCCACATGCAAGTCTCAGTCTTATCTTTACTCAAACTGGTTCTTCCAGTAAAACCTTCCTTATCACCTGAATTAGCTCTCCAAACAGGTTAAAAAAAAAAAAGAAAACTTTAAACCATTGTAAGACACAGAGCATGAGGAGCTGCAGTAAGAAAAGACATAAACACATACTATTACTCTGCAGCAAATAAGCAGTAGTCTTCATAATAAGGTTTTTTTTGCTGCAATAATTTTCAATTCAGTCTTCTATTTGTTCTAGTTTCAAAAGTGAATGTTATATACTGCTCAGTGTCTTGGAAGAGAAATCTAACTGGATTTTGCTTGCCTAGAGGCAGTACTCCAGCAGTGAATAAACTGACAATGATCATTTTAATTCAAGTGTGGGTCAGACAAAAGTACAGATTTGTTTCCTTTAGGTAGCATAAATTACAGGATTGATTGTAGTAATTTGAAATTTGTTTTCTTTTTAGTCTATGTCATAGAATTTTAGGACAGAAAACAGAAATTTAATATTGTGGCAGAATCGATATTGCACCTTTTCACAGTATGTTAACAAACAAACATGGTGTTTAAAGTTAATTTCATTTAATGTTTAATTTAATAATCAAATATTTTAAAGTATTCTTTACGAAATTAAATAATACATGAAGTCTGATTCAGCACAGACAAGAGTCATTTTACGCGTAGATTTTTCAAAAAACAAGTAGAATTGGTTGGGTGTGACAGTACATGTACAAAGACTATAGCTAGGAATAATACATACAGCTCAAAAATCATGTACAAAGCACTCTTTAAGACTCTTCAAGACTCTTCAGAAGTCATCCAAACTAGAGAATATATCTTGATATTTTTCTTTCTGATTAAGTAAGATGACTTGGTTAACACAGCTTGCTTACAATGTACTAATGCTACAGAACATTTACTAATGCAATATAAAAATTTCAAGTAATTTAGAGGACATATAATGATGAGATGAAGTAAAAAAGTCTCTGTGGTTTAAATAAATACAAGCACATGCATGTATACACACACTTTTTTTCAACCTGCATAGGAGAAATGTTAAGATAGCCTCAGATTTCCTATCCGTAGATTCACTGTCAAACACTAGAACCCTGTTTGCCGCAATCTTTTTCAACTATGAAAATAAAGGATTAAAAGGAAACAAAAGTTTATTTTATCTGACCCATAAACAAAAAGACATTAATCATGCTTGTTGGCTTAAAAAGCTTTTAGAGCTTTGAAAGCATTACAAAACAGACCTTAAAGCAACACTGCTGGCAACAGAGAAACTGTAAACTTCAGAAACAGTTTTATTTACAAACTCCACTTTCTGCTACAGCTGAAATGACAAAGCCATTTTTTATTTTACAAGTCTGAGTTTGCCAGTTGGATAGAAGACTGATTGCAATATCAGGAGCCCAAATATACTCAAAAATCACTCCAGACCAAAAAGTAACCTCAGAGAGCTTGAAAAAAAATTACATCTTCTTTTAAAGTTATAAGCACTGTTACCATCAAAAGTACTGCTGCTATTTGGAATGTGTAAATAATGGTAATACTGATCCAGCTAAAACCTGAAAATATGATTTTTCTAAAACCATACAATCTTTCTTTTAGGGCAAAACTGCACTAGAAAGTCAGTTTATAGTCACTTGCTATAAAATACTTAACTTTCCATAGAACTGTATAAGAGGGGGAAAAAACCAAGTTTGTATCTTTTCCAGGAAGCTGAGTTTGGAATTTAGGCTCGAATTTTTAAAAATTAAATGCACCATATAAGTTTTTTTATAACTAATTTTTCTCTACTGAGACTGCTTGTTGAAAAACAAGGTTTTGATCAAATACATTAGTTATGCCAGCATGTTGCCCTCTAGGACCTTAATGCCATCTTAAGCAGAATAGATAAAAGTAACATCTTGAACAACTTCCCAACCTCCATCCCTCATGTTCTCCTCCCGAATGACTGGAGATGTCAGTGTGATAGTAACTTGCATTTTGGGTTCCACACATGAATTTAAAATTATTGCGGCTTCTGGGACTGCACACTTGATATCATATTTCTCAGGACTTATTACCTAAATATCAAGAAACAGAAATTTCTATTAGCATGTGACAAAGTAAGGGGAAGAAAATGTATTTCACCATAGTCTTTGTTAACAGAAAGACAGAAATTCAATATAATTATATGAAGCAGATACCTCTGTATTCAAAGAAACAACATTATACACAATATATATATATGTATATGGACTTGTATACTGTTTCCAAATCATTAATGAAAACACAGCAGTTGCCAAGCATGCAAAAGAAAAAAAGCAAACCTACCCATAAGTGAAATTCAAATACTAAGTAAATTACATAACAGTATTTGAGATAAAGAAAAGCCTCAGTGCCACTTCAAATGCCAGTTCGGTATTTTTCTCATTGGAACATAGGAGCCTTTAAAAAGCACAAAGATGCAGTGGTGGTTCTTCAAGTTTGCAGTTACAGGATGGGTAATGCAAGTCACATTCTATACTTGGTTATCGCAACATCCTCTGGTGAGAACAAAGGGCAAGATTAACACCAGGGGGGAAAAAAGTAAGAGTAACAAGGTGGTTACTCAGAATTGCTTCTTGCAACTAGATTTAATAACTCTAAACACCCCAAAATAAAGCTGTAGGCATCTCTATCACCTTCCACAAACTAGAGGGACAAGTGAATTTTCCACAAAGCCAGACCAAGATGTGCAGGATTTAAGTTTTCTTCTGTTCTGTTATTTCAAACAAGAGTAAACCCAAGATTATTTTTCTAATTAATCTGATTCTGCTAATGTCTCTACCATGTCCCTAATTCTGTCCAGCATTTTACCAGACTGCATTGAAATACTAATGCTGTGACAAGCATTCTATAATGGTGGAAAGGCTTTGTTCAGTAGAGAACACTGAAGTTAAAAACTTTATTCTGTACTTTCATTTCTTATAGAAATACAGCAAATGGTTTATATGAATTTTGATGAATGGCTGAAGACTGTGTGTATTCTTTTTTTTAGTGCCAAATGAAAAAAAAACACACACAAGACTTAGTTAACTAATTGTGGGACTACAAAGCATTGACACATACAAACTGGAAACAAGACAAGTACAAACAGACTGGCATTAATGGAGAACTTTGACCTTCAGGCAGTGCAAGTTTCCTGCAACACTGCACAAATTACTTCTATTGCTGCTGGTAACTGGATAATAGTCTTTCTTCTGCTCATTTCTATTTCCCAGTTAAATGAAATCTATTAAATAATGATTGATACTACACCACTAGCATAAGCACCTAGACACTTATATGGACACAATATACAAAAAACCAAACATGAAGCATAGTCCCTGAATTCAGACAGAAATGCTCAGAAAATGAAAAGAAACTGAACCTGAGCTATGAAATGTAGCATGGTCAGCCCTACATTTGACTCGAGGACAGAGTTTTACAGTATCTTTACCAAAATTCAAATCCAAAAATCGAAATACTACTTACTGCAAGTTGTTTGGGAAGATTTTCAGCAATACAACTGAGTAACATCTTTGAAGGCTTCTCAGCACATAACAAAACAAGACTGACGTTTCGGTCTCCACGGAGTAACAAACCTTTAGCCAAAACGCCCACCCGTAAAACTCCTTTCAAAGCTCTGTGAATTACAGTTAAAAGTTGCATTTAAAATAATATAAAAATCATAAAACTAAACCTGGAGATAGAAAAATTAAGTAAAATAGGAGTATTCCTTATACTCTTGAGGCCACAGTGACATATGTAATATCAAAACCCAAAAGGAACAGAGTTCCTGAAAGCACTGATAACAGTACAAGGAAAAACATAAAATGACTTCAGAAACAAGTCATAAAATTCTTAAAAAATAATAAAGAAAAAAATACCTGTCTTTACTGCCATCTTTTTTGTCATCTCCCTCTTTGCTCTTGTTTTTTTCACGGTCAATCATATTGTCAGAAACAAGTTTCAAAGCACGCTCAGTAATAGAAACAATTTTTTGGACTGCTTGCAGTTCCTCCTCTGTTGGATATATAGCTGCATGTTTGGTCATCACATAGCGGTCATCAGAGGAGTCAGGGCGGCGTAGAGGCTAAACAGATGAGAAAGCACATTTCTGAAATTTGGGTGCACAACAGGTAAAGGAAGTTGATTCTCCCCCTCTACTCTGCTCTCATGAGACCCCACCTGGAGTACTGCGTCCAGTTCTGGGGACCCCAACATAAGAAGGATGTGGACCTGTTGGTGTGAGTCCAGAGGAGGGACAGGAAGATGATCAGAGGGCTGGAGCACCTCTCCTATGAAGACAGGCTGAAAGAGTTGGGGCTGTTCAGCCTGGTGAAGAAAAGGCTCCAGGGAGATCTTATAGCACCTTCCAGTACCTAAAGGGGTCCTACAAGAAGTCTGGAGATGGACTTTTTACAAGGGCATGAAGTGATTGGACAAGGGTTTTAAACTGAAAATAGGTAGGTTTAGATTAGATATTAGGAATAAATTCTTTACTGTGAAGGTGGTGAGGTACTGGAACATGTTGCCCAGAGAAGTTGTAGATGCCCCATCCCTGGAAGTGTTCAAGGTCAGGTTGGATAGGGCTTGGAGTAAGCTAGTCTAGCAGAAGGTGTCCCTGCCCATGGCAGGGGGGTTGGAACTAGATAATCTTTAAGGTCCCTTCCAACACAAACTATTCTATGATATACTTCCAAATTCACAGGTGATGTGTGACCAAAAACCAAACATGTGGCTAAACAACAGAATATTCAAACCTCAAATTATTGACATGTAACAAAACATGAACTGGTGTCCTTAACAACTTACACTGATCACAATCAGTCATATCTGAAAAAACCATGAAATGTATCAAAAATAAACAAATTGGGAAATCCCAAGATCAAAAGTACCTCCCCAACATAAATATTTATTGTCTTTTGTTAACTGGGAAATACTTGCATACTGCTGCAAAATAAATAATTATCTATGATTGCTTTCATAGAATCATGGAAGAATTCAAATAGGAAGGGACCTCAGGAGGTCCTCTAGTCCAGCCTCCTGTGGAAACCATGGTCAGTTATAAGACTATATCATGTTGCTCAGAGCTTCATCCAGTCGGTTCTTGAAAACCGCCAAAGATGGAAGCTTCACAACGTCTGTGTGGAGAAAAAAAGAAAAAAAAATCCTGTATTCAGTTTGCAGCTCTTTTGTCTCAGTTTAAGCTGGTTGTATCTCACCCCCTCACAACTGTAAAAAGCCTGGCTCCATTGTCTTTATAATGAACAGGTATTAGAAGTATTAGAAGGCTATTACATCCCACTGAAACTATCTCTTCTCCAGGCTGAATAGGCCCAGATCCCTCAAGTCTCTCCTCACAGGGTACACACTCCAGACCCCTGATCCCAGTAGCCCCACACTGAACCTACTATAGTTTATCAGTATCGTTCTTGTACTGGAAAGCCCAAAACTGAATGCAGTATTGCAGTTTGAGTCTAATGAAAGCAGATCACTTCCCTTTATCTACTGATTATGCTCCTGTTAACATCACCCAGGATGCTGTTAGCCTTGTTGCCAGGGCATATGGTTAGCTCATGTTCATTTTATTATCTGCCAAGAACCCCAGATGCCTTTCAGCAGGGCTGCTACCCAATCCCTCAGTGCAAGTGGTTATGCCTTCCCAAGTGCAGCATTAGGAATCTGTCCTTGCAGAATTCTATAAAGTTCCTGTTGGTCCATCCCTCCAGTCTTCCTAGGTCCTGCTGGATGGTAACCCTGCCCTCAAAGGTTTAAGCTGTTCTCCCCACCCCAAACCAATTCAGTTTCATGTCAGCTGCAAACCTGATGAGTGTGCACTCACTCCATCACCTTTCAAATCATCGATAAGGTGCTAATGAGACAAATCCCAATATAAACACATGCGTCACTGCACTTGTTACTGACCTCCAGGTAAAGTACAGCCCACCACTAACCATTATCCTCTGGGACTGACGATCCAATCACTTTTTATCCATACATTTGTCCACAATTTGATAAATAAAAGTATAATGTAATTAAATAAATTTAGAAGTAGCACACAAATCCAGAGTGACTTGTATTTCAGAAGAAACAATATTTGTCTTCAAGGCATTCTTTTGTCATATAAGCGGGCTTATTTCAGAAGACAGGTCCACCTACAGAGTTTAATTAGTATATAATTTTTTCTTCACTTTTCTCAATCCTTTAGAAACACTGGAGACAACTGAAGTATCACTGAATAATTTACAGTTCTTAACTGTGCCTCTTGGTAAATATGATTTCTTTCTCTTTTTTTCCCCCTCAAGTTAAGAAACTCACAGCTGGTCCTTGGGGCTGAGGAGGCATTCCTGGTCTAACTCCCAGCAGGCCTAGAGGTCCTGGAGGACCATGAGGATATCCTCCATCTGGTATTCTGCAGCGGTCATCCCAGTGATGCTGCTCTTCCTCCATTCTCCTCCAGTACATGTCCTCTTCATATCGCCTGAAGAGCATCAGTGTTCTCTTTATATAGCACTTAATACTTGCAACCATTCTAAATAAATTCTTGGATGTTCTCACTAACTCATTTCTAGTAATCAAGAGCAAATACCAATGAACTCCAGAGGGTACCTAAAATGGTTATTTTGAAAGCAGGCCTGAATTTATAGCAAATAATTCTAGTAAGTCTACATTCCTCAGAGGGATTGAACAAATAACAAAACAAAACAAAAAAAACCCCAAAACCTCAGAAGGATAATGACAGCTTAATTTAAAACAAGACAGTACAGAGTTTCCAAAACAAATATTCAAAATAAGCAACTACAGAAGTAGTTTTAGATAATCTGACTGCAGCTTTGTCTCATTCATTGATAAAACAGAATGCATTACCTCATTTCCATCCTCCAGCGTTCTTCCTCTTCTCGCCTTCTCCAGTATTCTTCTTTCTGCATCTGTTTCCTCATCTTCTCTTCTTGAATTTTCCTTGCTCGAATACTGGGCTTTACTTCTACTTGTAAATCAGGGTTTACTTTTTTCTAGTTTAGAAAAATAAAAAGTGAAATGTTGGTTTGCCTCTTGCCATCTCAAGGTTACGTAGTTCTTCTGACACATTAAGCACACACTACTGTTCTACGATAAAATCAGAGGGAGTAAAATGCAGTTTTAGAACTACACTGAATGAACAGCTGATGAAGAAAATTCTATGTCCAGTATTACAAAGGAAAGAAATAGTAATTAATTCCCTCTTCAGCTATATGAGAACAAAGCTATTTAAGGTTAAAATGTTACATGAAATACTGAGTAATTTGCTGTTCATTCTGCAGCAGGATGATTACTCTATAACCTGAAAAAAACCCATGTCATCTTAACTACAGTGTGCTTCCTGATGCCCTGTTCCTGAAGGGTCCCTGATACAGGAGCATAATCATGAGTCACTGAATAAATTTTTCTGGCAATTTTTCCCTCTTCTTTCATCCCTTTCACGATCATGCAGGCCCACTGTATCTCCTGAGATCACAGTAGATTCTTCTTATATAATCTTACAATAATAAAAACACACACCACGTGTCACTGTAGGTGTCTGTCCATTCACAACTAAAAAGTCTACAATACTTGTTTCTCAAATGTCTCTACAAGGGGTTTAAGTGGTTTATCCTGACAAAAATATTGAGCATTTGAAATTCAGGGTAAACAACAAAGCACCTACTATTGCTTGCATGTCGTACAATATTTTTATGTTGCAAAGTGATGTTCAGAATGTTTAAAGAAACACCCAAACCAAAATGCGGTTTCAGAGTCTGCATTACAATGATGCCTCAGAGTTTTTTGGACTTTTTCACTTTTGTAGATTTTAGAAGTAGTTGTGTAGTAAATGTAGATTTTAATGTAGCTGTATAATCCCTTACCCTTTAACATAGTAGTTACCCATACCTAACCCTATTACCCCATTTCATATCAATCCCTCTAAATTCCATTAGCGTGTTTAGTCTTCCTTTCAAGGTAGGATTGTAGAAAAACACCTCTGTTTAAGAACATTGCACCCTAGGCCTGGACCAGAAGATATCACACAGACAAAGCAACCTTCAAGCCCAGAACTTTGGAGGAACTCCAAGGACTGTACGTGCTGTGAAGAAAATGAAGATGAGGAAGAAGGGGTTCCAAACACCCCTAGACCCAATTCCTGAAGGGGTGTGTCAGGGGGCAGAACTGGGCAGAACCAGGGGTAGATAGATCTGGGATTGGATGGACCTTATTATAAAATCATAGAACCACTGTGTGGGTTCACACGCGTCGTGTGTATTCCCCTGGGCCTGAGGCCTGATTAAAGGACCCATTCTTTCTATATTATCTTATACACTAAATTGGCCTGGAGTCTTTTTCTCCGTAGTCTCTTTAGGCAATAAATTGGCGCCCAAGAGGTGGAAATTGAAATCCAGCACCCTGGAAGCTGTTGGACCTTTGACTTCTTTGGATCAAGTCATTTCATCCTGTGAGACCTTTTCATCTGGCACCACTTATTTGAAGGGTTCCCGCACCGATCCTGAGAAGCCCCAGCTCCTAACAATCCTGGGCACAGGTGAGATAAAAGAGTAGTTCTTTTAAGGTTAAATTTTGCTAGCAACTGTAAATTGGGTTTTTCCTGGAAATTGGGGAATATGGTGGGCTGGGAAGTGAGACTTTGGGGCCCTGTGTTGTTGCAAAAGTCACTGTTTTCCCAGTCTGTGGGTGAAAAGTGTTTCACCTGGACGGGCAGTTTGACTGGCCCAGGACGGTTAAAGGGGTGTGGGTGGAGGACCCCTCTCACTGGTGCGGCTTTGGTAAAGGCAGGGCAGGGACGGTGGACAGTGGACCATACCACTGTGGTTACTCAGGGGGCTTTGTATTGGGGAGTTTCTTCCTGCCTGGTAGTTGTCATTATGGGTTGTGTCAAGCCCTGAGAGGAGGAGATTCCAAAAAGATCTCCTTTAGCCTTGGTTTTGCAGCACTGGAGGCATTTGACTGGTCTTGAAACATCTTTATAGAAGCAGGAGTTATGTAGGCTGTCTATAAACATGTGACTGTTTCAGAGGCTGCACAAAGGGGACACTTGGCTGAAGTTTGGTTCTTTTTAAATAAATAGAGCGTTACAGCTTATGTCGATCCTCCCTAAGGAGGAGAGGTGGAGAGAAGTAGTGTATGCTGAATTGTTTCTGGTTTTTTTAAACCATCCGGAATGGAAGAAGGAATATAAGTTAGAGAAAGCCCCGGCAGCAGCGGGAGCCTCAGGACCGGTGGGGACAGGCTGCCATTGGAGTTACCGTTGTGGGAGCGGCAGCGGCAGGAGCTGCCACTACAGGACAGGTGGGGACAGGAGTGGTAGCTACTGGAGCAGCGGTGGTGGGAGCT